GAGCTACTTTTACTCAAATAATTATCTCTATTCTAAAAAAAAAATTCAAGGTGATCTTGAATCAAGGACATTAATAGAGGGGACCTCAAACCTGGTTTATATGAAAAAGGAAGAAGACAAAGTGATTTCAAATTCTCAAATCCTCTCATCATCTACAAAAGTATTCAAAGACTAAACCCTCATCAACATGCCCTCTTAGGCTTAGAGACATTATGAAAAATTAGATTTGTGAACCTACAGAATCTAATTTTTCATAATGTCTATGTGTGGTATTTTTTCCTTCTTACTCTCACTTGACTCCATAAGTCAAGTCCATGTGAACCCATGCTGCCATATGCCTATCTTAATCATAAAAGTAGAAACTTGAATAGGTCAAATATTGGACTTAGAGACATTATGAAAAATCAGATTCTATTTTAAACCTCGCATACAAACATGACTAATTTAAAGCATCCAAGCAGATTTTCACTATAGTATTCATCTACTTTCAAACAAGATTCATTAACCTAAGCTTCCAACTTGTTTCTATGTGTTTTCGAGGAGAAGACAATGGTTAAGGTGAAGCAGTACCTTTAGCTAGGGAACATTGTCGCTAGAAGAGGAATAGGAGGCCCATAGTGATGTTGCTAGAGGAGGAATCGAGGAGCAAAGTGGCGAGGTCGGAGGAGGGACCGAGGAGCAAAGCTGGAGGAAGAAATGGCGTGACTTGGTGAAGTGCAAAGAGGCGAGTTAGGTTTAGTGCTACACAGTGTTTGCCTTTGGGAGGGACTCTTTTTTGTTTTATTTTTTTTCACCTTTACATTCTAAACTGGAGGGAGAGTAATGAAAAAAAAAGAGGGAGAAGAATAAATATTAGTGCCAGACACAAAATTTTTCCAAAAAAAATTATGAAAAAATAAATAATTTTATGTTAAAAAATATTAGAAATATCAAGAATATTTTATAAAGAGAAATAAAAAATTGCACACAAACATACCATTACTTAGCTTTATTTTACAAAAGAATTCATATGCATCACTATTTTTTTCACTAATTATCTATTTTAGATAAGAATTAACAATCCCTTGTAATTTTTTTTCGTTAATTATCTTATTTTAGAGAGAAAAAATATCCTTCATTAATTATCTTGCTTTAGAAGAGAATTGACAATTTTTTGCTATTCTCATCACTAATTATTTTATTTTAGAGAGAGATAAACTTTTCTCACTATTTTTCTCGATAATTATCATATTTTAGAGAGGAATAAATATCCCTCACTATTTCCCTCGCTAATTTTTTTTATTTTAGAGAGGAATAAATTTTTCTCGCTATTTTCCTCGCTATTTATCATATTTTAGAAGGGAATTAATAGTCCCTCACTATTTTCTTCACTAATTATCATATTTTAGAGATGAATAAATATTCCTTGCTATTTTCCTCACTAATTATTTTATTTTAGAGAGGAATTGATTGTCCCTCACTATTTTTCCTTGCTAATTTTAAGCTTAGCTATGAATTTAATATTCCTCGCTAATTTCCTCACTAATTTGGCATTTTAGAAAGGAATAGACGATCCCTCGCTAAATTTTCTCGCTAATTTACATTTTTTTAGTAGTGGAAATGCCTCCCACCAATAGGGAAGGGGCATTTTAGCTTGAGCTAGTATGGTAAGACTAACTTCAACTATATGTCAATGTTCTCTTTCTATCCTACCATTCTGTTGTGAAGCATATGGGCATGAATGTCCGAATAATATGCTTGAATCACTTAAGACTTTAGAAAAACTTCTATATTCACCACCCCAATCACTTTGGATAGTTTTGTTTTTCTTTTCAAATTATTTTTTCACAAACTGTTTGAATTGAATAAACATGGAAAGAGCTTCATCTTTAGTTTTTAAAGGAAAGATACAGTAATATCTACTAAAATCATCTAGAAATAACACATAATATCTGAAACCATTCAAGGATGGTAGAGGAGATGGACCCTATAAATTTATATGTATTAGTTCTAAAGGACAAGAAACAAATGATTTAGATGCTTTAAAAGGGAGAGAATGAGACTTGCCAAACTTGTAAGGTTCACAAACATAGGTTCTTCTTTGGCATTAACTTTCAGATTACAATCTTTAATAACTTTGCTCAAAATTCTAGGACTAGGATGACCAAGCCGACAATGCCAAAGTCTCTTAGTATCACTACCATTAATACTATCACTATTCTTGTCAAAAATGACTTCTTGTTCATTAATAGCAAACACTAACTTTGGATCTCATTTATCTTCCTTTACTAACTTCTTGGCCATCACCTTGTAGAGACCACCTTTATTTTTCTCCCCCTGAAGTAGTGTGGTCCCTATCCTTTGATCCTTAACAATAACACCATGAGAATTCATTATTATCAAGGCATTATTATCATCTAAAATTTTTGGAATACTCAATAGATTTTTCTTAGCCTTAAGTGCATAGGGAATGTTATTAAGCATAATAAATTTTTCAGGCACATTCTATATTCTAGATGAGCCCACTTAGTCAACATTAAGTTTCTGGCCATTAGCAATAAACAAATTAACCTTACCATTATTGTTCACAAGATTGTCTAGATGGTTAGGATCATTACTAACACGACAAGTAGCCCCACTATCCACAAACCATGATTCATCATTCACTATTTATAGAGTAGCATAAAATGCCTCATTATAATTAGAGTTTCCATAATCTGTACCTTTCTTTATGATAAGAGGTTTGAAATTTTTATCAAACCTATGAAAGAAATTCTTCACAGAATGCCCTGGCTTATCACACAGCTGACAAGGAGGGTAAGTAGATCTCCCACCTTTGCCACATCCTCTTTAGTTTTGACCACCATGGTTTCCACAATCAAAACATCTAGGAGAAAACTCATCTTTAGAGTAGTGAGCCATATGAGAGATAAGACTAAGTTGGGTGACTTGGTTTAATTGCTCTAACTGACTTTCAAAGGTGAGAAGAGAGGATTGAAACTTTATCTAGGACATATCTTCCTTAACTGCAACTAGATGAACTACAATCGAGTTGTATTCTGCATCTAAACTAGTAAGAACTTGTAACAGCAAATCTGAATTAGGGACTGGACTCCTTGCAACAACTAGACTCTTAAAAATCTGTTTCATCTTAGCTAGATAATCCTCTGTGTGAAGACCACCCTTCCTGGTGCATTGTAATTCGCCTCTTAACAGCAAAACACAAGCTTTGTTTTGAGCTCTAGCTATTTCATGTGCTGCGACCCATAAACCAATTGTTGTTGAAACATGAGTCATATGAGAAAAAACCTTTAGTGTCATTGTGTTAAGAAGCCAACCAAAAACCAGCTGATCTGTTATTACCCAATCATTGAAATCAGGATTTAGCCTGGTTTCATTGCCAACAATAGTAAATTATGGAGGGCATGGCTTGGTTCCGTTGATGAAACCCTCAAGTTTTTATCCCTTGATAATCGAAAGCACATAGGCCTACCAAATTTTGAAATTAGTCCTATTCAACTTGACAGAACAGACTTGTGAGAGTGATGTAGGCACTATAAGGTTCTTTAAAAGTGTATTGCCAGAATCAAGTGAGTTGGAATGCTTGGAAACAGTGCATGCGGTATAGGTTGATGCTGACTCTTCAGCCATGGCAGCTAACCTTTAGCTCTGATACCAAGATAAGTTTAGACAAAGAAGGTAATATCATAAAAGAGGTGCACAAAGCCCTAGAAATATTATTCCTTATATAGAGAGAATAGAAAACCCTAATCTCTCCAATGTGTGACAACTGTACAAAAGAATTAATAAAATAGAAAATAATACACAGATAAAATAATAAAACTACTTGGGCTTAAGGCTCTGTAACTTTAAATGACTCTTCATAGTAGGCTTTATATTATTGGGCCTAATGGATTGAGATGTTTTGACACTAATCCATCCACTCCTTAATTTTTCTTAGTTATACATGTTTAGAGAATCTTGAACATTCTTAAACAAGTCTTAATTATGTGAGTTGATATGGTGTGTAAATCCATGATTGTATTGGTGCATAGATCTCGGGCCCAACATGTGTTGTGCTACCCTCATGCTTTATGTACACTGATCCATAGGTGAATCTATGACACTATTGGAATCCAGTTCACAAGACTATCCTCTGAGTCATAAGGTTCAATTAAATCCTCATCTTTAAAGTATCCGACTCATAGTGATGTCATTACTACACATACATGAGTCTCATTGGATGTGCAAAAATTTGTTTGTGGTGGTTTTCTGGTGTTTGTGAGCATGCTTTAGGAGTGTGTCCTCAAATGGTGTGATACACCTAACTTATAAATTAAATGGTTAGTTTTGGGGTCCTTTGTCACAATTTTCTCATATACAAGTACTAAAAATTTTGAAAAAAATGAAAATGAGCAAAATACATGAATTATCATTAAGGAAAAATCCAATTAATTTTATCCATTTACTCACTCCTTTCCTAATTATACAGCAAACTTAATTAACTTAGCGAGTAGTAATTAAGAAATGATAGTTGCATTTTTAAACTTGTTAAAAAACCACGAATAAAGTCATTATTTACAATTAATATCATAATTAATTGCTATGTAGGAATTTAAATTTAAACTATTTAAAAACAGTTTGTTACAGTTACCAATAAAAAACACCTAGTTTTCATAAAATTAATTATACCCCCAAATACATAAATAAGACATAAAATAAAAAAAAAATAACTATTCAAACTTGACTTCAAGAATGGGTTGCAATTATTGAAAGTTTGCCCTATAATTAGGACAGATCGGGGACTATATGGTAGTAGCATTTCCATATTTCTCTGTGGTAGCAGCATTGCTAGACCACTCTCAGTAAGCTTTGATCAGCTCATGAAAGAAGATCAAATTAGCTGCCACTATTAAAAAAGTCAAATTTGGCGTCGTTACATTCCAAATTTGTGATTAGACCAAAACAACAGCACCCTTCAAAGCATCATCACAAGTAATTTTTTTTTCGTTCGTTCCCACATGGACAGCGCAACCCACATAGCCGCAGTCTCAATCCCTGCCTTCAGCCACCAAGCTTCCATTGTTGAGCTCTGCAAAAAGCTCCTTCTTCTTCATCTTCACCCCAACAACCTCCACGTCACCATCATCTTCCCCACCATCCATTCTCCTCCTCCCCATGAAGCCGCCATAGCTAATTTGCTTCGGGCTTTTCCTTCTTCCATTGACTTCGTCTTTCTTCCTCCTCCAAATTTGCAGGACCTTCCTTCTGAGACCCTTGCAGGGGTCCAGATTCAGATCTCTGTGCCTCGCTCTATGCCTTTTTTGAGAGAGAAGTTGATGTCTCTCAGCTTAACGTCCAGGCTTGTTTGCTTAATTGCTGATTCGTTCGCCACCGAAGCACTCGCTATTGGGAAAGAACTAAACCTATTATGCTATGTCTATGAGCCTTCAACTGTTATGGTGGTGTCACTGTCGTTTCATTTGCCAGAGATAGAGGAATCATCTTCTTCTTCTGCCACTGATGAGTGCAGAGACCTCTCAGAAGTGATACAACTCCCAGGTCTGGATTCACAGTCGAGGGAATATTGGGTAAAAAAAAACATGTACTTATATGTGTTTAGGGTATTTTTGATCAAAATATGGTAATTAAATTATCTTTTTAGTAAATTATTTAATATATATAATATTTTGATATGAAATTCTGACAACAATATAATTAAGAACTAGGGTAATGTTACAAAACTAAAGAAACTCGAAACAATATGATTAGTGCAAGTGAGAACTTTGAGAGGTGAAATGGGATACTTCTCATTCATTTTAATTTAGATGTGTGCACAAGATTTTGCTGGCTCTTCAAGACGTAGATCTCGAGCTTTGCGAGAGCAGACCAATAGTAGCTTAGGGAGAGGAAAGTAGGCCTGCGGATAGAAAGAATTTCAGTTCAGTGACCGGACTAGAGAGAGCAAAAGAAGTTCTCTTTCTAGCCCCGAGCTAAGTGACCACTGGGGCGAGGGGTTTCCTTAACCAAGCCACTGCCTATGAGTCACCCGGCTCATTCTTCAACAGGCACGCGGTCAGAGCCCCGGGCTCCTCCCACTGCTTGGGGACTTGCTGTGATCTTTCCTCCAGTTGGTTTGCTTACTTAAAGATATGCATCGTTAGAGTAAGTCCCTTTTTTGGAGTTCAATTCCGAGCCGGTAAGCAAGACAAAGCAAGTCAACATCCTTCCAGGAAGCTATTTCAAACCTTACCATTCTAGGCTTTGCCTTAACCGAGGAGTGAAGCGAGAGGCCTTCTAACGTAATGGGTGCCCGTCGCTTACTTTATGTTTATAGAAGTAGGACGTGGGTTCAGCTCTCTAATAATATAAAAAAAAAGGAGGTTGGCTTCTTCTCATGTATAAGCCTTCAATTATTAAATACTAGCGAATGAATTAATTGTATCTATATTAACATTATGATGTATAGTTTCTAAAATCAAAAAATTCTTGATGTCTTGGATTGATGAATGGAAAAAAAAAAAAGATAGAATGATTCATGAGAGTCATAATTAGATTATTTGAATATTAGGAAGTCATGAACATCTACCTATGAAAATATTTAAAATGTAATTTTGGCCAAAAATTATTTAAAATGTAATATCTAGTTCTTTTATTAAGAAAATATGTAGTTCTCCTAATTTTCTTTTAAATTATTTAAATAAATAAGATTACAAACCGGATAAATATAAGAATAACTATTATGGTTGGATATTCCCGGATAAAATTTAACAATAGTTTAATTTGGCTTAGATCCATCGACTTTGACATACATATACAAATTTGCACACAAACATTGAATTAGGACATTTGAAAAAGTGGATACGTTAATATTCGTTTTTCGAAGTGCGAGTTAGGTTGCCAAAAATTAAAAGCAGCATGCAATCATATTTTTAAACCTTTTTGTTTTTTTTCTTCATATAGTATAGAAAATTAGATTTAATTTGAATCCTATTTTTCTGCATTTACGATATTGTATCAATCATGGTATGTGTTTGCTTTTGTTATTTTACTGCTCAAAAAGTTTAGTCAATTTGTACAAAATTTAATGAAAAAATGATAATAAAATCTCTCTAAATATAAATGACAATCTAATCCTTTAAAATGTCATAATTTTATTGAAATTCCTAAAGATTTTTTTGTCATTAACGAATTTATGTAAAAGAGCAAATTACCCTTAAAGGAATATTAAGAATTTGATATGCAAAATTGTAATTACTTAAACAAAATTTATGATCATTACTTATTATTTCTAACACTTGTAGCAATATCAAGAATTTGACATGTGAACAATTATAATTTGTTGTTGCATTGCTGTAAATATAATAAGTAAAGTTATGATTATTTAAATAAAACTTGTGATTATTACTTGTTATTTCCAACGCTTGTAACAATATTAGGAATTTGACATGTAAACTTGTAATTTATTATTGTATTGTTATGAATATAAAAAGAAAAGCTATGATTATTAAAATAAAACTTGTGATCATTACTAGTTATTTCTAACACCTGTAGCAATAATAAGAATTTGACATGCGAATATGTAATTTGCTATTGTATTATTGTGATTATAGGAAGAAAAGTTGTAATTATTTAAATAATAAAAAGAAAAGTTGTGATTATTTAAATAAAACTTGTAATTAGTTTATTTTCAACAAGGCAATTTGATCATTTATATAAATTAATTGATGATAGAAAGATCTTTAGAGATTTTAGTGAAATTATGGCATTTTAATGAACCAAATTGTCGTTTATATAATTTAAAAAGATTTTATTATCATTTTTTTAAAGTTTAATTGTGTTTTTGCCATGATATAAAATTCAATTTAAATTAATAATTTAGCCTTAAATAAAGAAGTCGATTACGTCCGATTGAAACACAGGCTGTGTACCTTTCCTTGCCAAAGATCTACCAGACCATCTCCCCGTCCAATCCACGGAAGCTTACAAGCTGTTTCTCCAACAATGCAAACGACACCGTCTTGCCGATGGTGTCTTGGTTAATAGCTTTATAGAGATGGAGGCCGGAGCGATAGCAGCATTGACAGGAGGAGGAAGACGAAATCACCCTCCTATTCACCCAGTGGGACCCATCGTACAGACATGTTCAAATCACCAGACAGATCACGGGACGTCGTCGTCTAAAATCTTAAGGTGGTTAGATGAACAGCCTCGAAGGTCTGTTCTTTATGTTTCTTTAGGCTCTGGTGGGACCCTCTGCGAAGACCAGCTCCATGAACTAGCTCTGGGTTTAAAAATGAGTGGTCACAAGTTCTTGTGGGCACTTATTAAACCACCAAGTAAATCTCCTAGTGCTACTTTCATCATTAATGGCACGGCCTCAAAGGATGACCCTTTAGGGTTTTTACGACGTGGGTTCTTGGAGAGAACAAATGGGCAAGGCCTATTAGTACCCAAGTGGGTTCCACAGGTTCAAGTTCTTCGCCACGGAGCGGGGTTCTTGAGTCACTGTGGTTGGAACTCAACTCTTGAGAGTGTGGATCACGGGGTGCCTATGATAGCTTGGCTATTCTTTCACGATCAGAAGATGAATGCAGTGGTGCTCAATAATGATCTCAAAGTGGCTCTAAGACCAGAGGTTGGTGAAAATGGGATAGTACAGAAGGAGGAGATTGCGAAGGTGATTAAGAGTGTAATGGGAGGGGATGATGAAGGTCGTAAGATTAGCACCAGAATAAAAGAACTACAAAGGGTTGCTAATAATGCTCTAAGAGAATGTGGCTCTTCTATGAAGACATTATCACATTTGGCTCTCAAATAGAAAAGTTTTAAGGGCATATTGCAGGAATATTAATTACTACCACCTTTGGATCAATTTAATGACGAGAAATATATGACAGTTAAATTTTAACTATAAGAATAATATATAATTTTAACTATATTTTGTTTCTTATGAATGGGCTTGGATTTATTTTTTTATCGCTTTCTACAGTGCAATTCCAATGTTTATTCTTGTTGGGAAAATAAATTGCTAAATTATTTAGAAAATTCAATCACTTGGATGAGGTATTTCTAAGGACGTAAAATGTATTGTCAGCAATATTTATTCCTTTGGAGAAAAGCTTATTGATATATACAGTGATATGTAACACCTCACACTTTTTATCCCATATATAAATGTATAATAAAGAATTATCATCTTAAATCGTAAATCATGACCATAATATTTAAAATATGTGAAAATTCAAACCGTATTATCATACCAACCAAATTCAATGCCTAACTAAAAACTATCAGAAAACGGTTCAATGAGAGCATAATAAACCACCCCATCACATCACAAGGTAACCATAAAATCGCACCCAAAAAAAAAAAAAAAAACACACACACACACACACACACACACTCTAACATCGATACCAACACGTATGGTAAAAAAAGAATCATTGAAGACAACAACATGAACAATCCTTGCATTTATTTAGTCAAATACAAAAATAATCATTCCTAAAATTACCACGCGCGCCAATATGCCATAATAGTGTCTCTTTCGCTAATTCAAAAGCAATAGCTTTAATTAATGACTTAAATCCTATACTTGGCAGTATCTATAACCATAATGCATTTGCCATTAGACAAAATAACTTATGACATTATCTTTAATTTAAATTTTGATGATGATGAATAATGTATAAATGAGTTCAATATAATAGTTAATATGTTTGAGAACTATGGAATAGTCAACTATATGCATTATTGTCTTTATATATAATAGTTAACTATAACTATGCACTGACATGATTTTGGGATTTAGAAGCGGAGCGTTATACCCCTTTAGTGATTGCCAATCATCACTACTAAAAAATATCATATATATAACGCCTCATATACAATGGTTATAAGAAAAAAACATTGAATTAAAAAAGGCAGGATTTCGAAAAACTAATATTCAGCGGTAACCATTGAATAAATTTTATATATATTCAATGTTTAAATAAAAACCGTTGAATAAACTCCTCACAAAAACCCATGTTGACATCACCATATTATTCAACATGTTAGTAAAAGCAACCGTTGAATAAAGTGTCAAAATATTCAACGGTTAAAATTAACAACCGTTGAATAAATGTTTCCGAAACCACCTTATGATATCATCTTATTATTCAATGGTTCCTTTACTAGAACTGTTGAATAAACTTTTATAATATTTAACGGTTTCTATTGAGGAACAGTTGAATAAACATATATTCAACAGTTTTTCAAGAGAATCGTTGAATAATTTCATTCAAATTGCCTCTTCATTCTCCCAAAGCTGTTACTCTCAAACGCTCAAAACTCCATTTCTCCTCTGCAAAACCAGATATCCATTGTCAAATCTCCTTCCCCAAGCACCGAGTCCACATTTCCAGCCAAACCCTTCCATATTCTGCCATTAGAGTGTCGTCGCAAGCCTTCATTGCCATTTTCATCTTTCGTCTCGTGGTGTGCAAACACGTAAGTGCTCTACGTTACATTTCGCTCCTCTTTCTCTTCTTCTTCCCTCTTCCTCTTCCTTCTTCCTCTTCCTCTTCCTCTCTCTCTTCCTAACTTCATCTTCCTCTTCCATTCCAGTTGCTTGGTTTGTGGTTCATCTCCATTCAACCATGGTTACGTGTATGGGTTACATCGGCAAAACAAAAAAAGGTTTTTTTTAAGAAATTGTATAAAATTTGAGTATTTGATTTGAACATAGATTGAATGGGTTATGATTATTTATAGTGGGGATGATTTCATATACAATGTGCTTGAATTTTGGTTGAATGAAAATGCTCTATGTCTGCTACCAATTGTTAAATGTGATTGATTGAGTGATTTTTAATATGAATTTGTTATTATTTTAATGTTTAATTTGTTAAAAAAGGGCAGTAAGCCTGGGAAATACTTAGTTTTATGCCATTATGTTGCCGAATTTTTTAAAAAATTTTAGTCTTGCAAATATGACCATTGTTAATTATGGTCTGGGAGGAGTTTAATTATACTTCTATCTTGTTTCTTGAATTAGTTTAAAATTTTATAGGTTAAAATAGTGTAAAGAAAGGGCATAATACTTGAGGAATACTTATTTGAAATTGCTTGACTGTTAATTTTCTTTAATTTTAATTTTTCTCTTGAAAAGAACAAATATAAGCGTAGTTGAAGTTGTTGAAGTAATTAAACTTGTGACTCACTAAATGCTTTCCTATCTTTACCATCTTTATTAAATAAGGGCATTATGGATAAGGAGTGGATGTCTGCTAATCGCCTATCTAAAGAATATTGGGATGGGGTAGCAGAATTTGTTAAGTTTGCGGTAAACAATGCAAAAAATCGTGAGCGAATTGTTTGTCCTTGTTTAAGTTATGGCAATGTGAAGTCAGTTTCTCCTGAGACATGCAAACTTTACTTGTTTAAGTATGGAATTGATCAAAGTTACAAATGTTGGGTAAAGCATAGGGAGACACCTGAAGATGTGAATAACAGTAGCCAAGGGTATATAGAAAGTTGTTCATCACCATCATCTTTTGACACAAATGCAAATGAGGTTGATTATCTTAAAGAATTGGTTAATGCAATGGAAGAGGAACTCTAGAATTTTCTAGAGAAGTTTAAAAGGTTGAAAACAAATACAGAGACACCTCTGTATAAGGGTTGTACTGAGTTCAATTTATTGTCCGCTGTGTTAGAATTGTACAACTTGAAGGCAACAAGTGGGTGGAGTGATATAAGTTTTTCAAGCTTGCTCTCTCTAATCAAACTAATGCTACCAAAGAATAATAAGCTTTCGGATCGGCTATATGATGCAAAGAAGGTGTTACGTATAGTTGGCCTAAGCTATAAGAAGATACATGCTTGCCTTAACGATTGCATTTTGTTTATGAATGAATATGAAGAGCTAACCCACTGTCCTAAGTGTGAGACATCAAGGAAGAGTGTGAAGAAGGTAATGTGGTATTTTCCTATTATTCCAAGATTTAGGCATTTATATAGCATACGTCAAGAGGCAAAGAATTTAACATAGCATGCAGATGGAAGGATTAAAGATGACAAGATTCGACATCCAGCTATTCTTCTAAATGGATAAGGTTTGATTGGAAGTACCATGAGTTCGAAAAAGAAGATAGGAACCTATGCCTCACATTATCTACTGATGGGATGAACCCACATGGTATGTAGAGCAGTACTTATAGTACATGGCCTGTGATGATGGTCATTTATAACCTTCCTCCTGGCTTTGCATGAAGCGAAAATATATGATGCTATCCTTGCTAATATCGAGGCCCAAGCAACTCGGGAATGACATAGATGTTTACTTAAAACCATTGATTGAAGACTTAAAGCTGTTGTGGGAGATAGGTATAGAGGTATATGATGCCTACAAAGAAGAGATATTCAATTTGAGAGATATGCTTTTTGGTACAATCAATGACTTTTCAGCGTATAGTAATCTATCATGGTATAGTATTAAAAACAACTTAGATGTCCCATTTGTGAAGAAGGAACATGTTCAATGAGATTGCAACATAGTATGAAGAACATGTACCTTGGGCATCGTAGATAGTTAGATGACAAACATCAATATCCTCAGTGGAAAAAGTCATTTGATGGAAAAATAGAAGAAGAGAGGCCACCAAAGCAGTTGACTGGTGAGGAATTATTTGAAAAGGTAAAAGATCTTGATATTGAATTTGGAAAACCACTTGCGAAGCATATTGGAACAAGCGGGTGGAAGAAAAGATTAATTTTCTTTGAGTTGCCATATTGGAAGACCTTAAATGTGCGACACTTCCTTGATTTAATGCATATTGAGAAACATGTGTGCAATAGTCTTGTTGGGATATTGCTTTATATTCTAGGAAAGATGAAGGATGGCATCAATGCAAGGTTAGACATGGTTGAAATGGGCATAAGAGAAGAATTGACACCGCAAGAGAAGGGAACTCGCACATTTCTTCAAGCAGCAGCTCACACACTGTCTAGAAAAGAAAAGAAAAGTTTATGTGAGTTTCTTGCTACAATCAAGGTTCCAAATGGCTACTCTTTAAATGTTAGAAACCTTGTCTTAATGAAGGACCTAAAGTTAAAGGGTTTAAAGACCCATGATTGCCATATTTTAATGGAAAATTTTATTCTGATTGCTATACGTGGTATTTTATCTGATAATGTGCAAGGTGCCATCACAAAGCTATGTTACTTCTTTAGGTGCCTCTGTAGTAAAGTAATTAATCCTAACAAGTTGCCGAAGTTACAAAGCTGAATTGTACAAACATTATGTGAGTTGGATATATTTTTTCCTCTTGTATTTTTTAATATCATGGCCCACTTAACCGTTCACTTAGTTAGGGAGGTACAATTATGCGGCCTTACTTATTTGAGGTGGATGTACCCCTTTGAATGTAATACGAAAGTATTGAAAAGGTATGTGAAAAGTCAGAGTCGACTAGAAGGTTGCATTATTGAACGATATATTAATGAAGAGGCTATTCACTTTTGCGATCAATACTTAAAGAATTCAAGGCATGTTAATGATGAAGCTACAGGACGGACAATGGGAAGAAAAGTTGTTACTATCTCAAGTGACCAACTAAAAAAAGTACACCTTTTTGTGATATACAAACCTCCAGAGATTTATGAGTATGCAAAAATTCACAAGGCAGAGCTAAAAAGGCAACACCATCATCGATTAGAGAGTTGGATCATCAAACTGCATAATAAATAGTTCATTCACTGGTTGAAAGAGTATATCGAAGGGAAGTACAATGCCAATCCTAATTCAGTTTTTGATAGATTAAAATGGCTGGCACA